TGAATTAGTTAAATAATGATTATTTTATACTTTTGAATACAGTTCCATCATATTTCAACCCTTAAAAAGCAACCCTTGTTAGAGATTAATGTAAAAAAATTACCAATTATAAAAAAATGATTTCGCCTTGGATCGATTTGGATAAAAATTTGGATTTAAGCTCAATTCACCCGCTCCTTTATAGTTTATGTCATGTCGACGAACCCTGATTGTTCTAAGGGGTGAAAACTACCCGTAATTGTCAAAAATTATAAAATAACATATTAAACCTGAATATGGGTAAAATTTGGTTTGAATTAATTAAATAATGATAGTTTCGTGCTTTTGAATAAAGTTCCATCATATTTCAACCCTTAAAAAGCACCCTTATTAGAGATTAATATAAAAAAATTAGTAATGCGAGAAAATGATTTCACCTTGGAACGATTTGCATAAAAATTTGGAATTAAGCTCAACTCACCCTCTGCTTTATAGTTTATGTCATGCCGATGAACCCTGATTGTTCTTAGGGGTGAAAACTACTTCTAATTTTCAAAAATTGTAAAATAATATTATAAATCTTAAGATGAGTGAAATTTGGTTTGGATTAGTTAAATAGTGATTTTTTTATACTTTAAAATACAAATTCATACATTTTCAACCCTTAAAAATCAATTGTTATGAGTGCTATAGGTGAAAACAATTTTTTGCCAAAATTTTGCAACTTTTCAACTTTTGAAAATCACCCTTTACAACATTGCAGTTTTTATAAACTAATTTATAAGATATAAATTGAAAAAAGTAGAATTAAATACAAAAAAATTTATCAACATAAAAAGGCACCATGTATTCTTATACATTTACATAAATAGTTGAAAATATTTACATTTATAGGTAAAACAATTGTAATATTAATTTTATTCGTCATCAATTACATCTTCATCGTGATCTATGTCATCCTCATCTTCAATTATTGGTGGACTATTATTGCACCCTTCACCTGAGCACCCAGAACAAGTAGAGTTACAGTATAAACCAACTTTTCTGCACCCACATGAAACACCGCATCCTTTTTTGCATTGCCAAAAAATAATTTTCAAAAGTTCATCGAGTGCAGGTTGTTTGTTCATGCGTACGGGTAATAACAAACCATCTTTGGAATACCATCCCCAATCTGTTGCTCTAATATTTTCATTGCCAAGCCATAGACATATGAGCAGATGTTTTATTCTGTTGTATGGGATTTCCAAATAAGAACGCTTAAAATTTCGAATGTATAACGCCCCACTAGCTAATATACCGGTTTTGTAGATTACTATGCTCCGAAATGTACTGTACTATACTAATAAAATTTTCCGGAAAAAAATTCACTGGTTTTTTTTAACGTATTTCCTTTAATTTTTAACGATAGAGTGTTTCTTCAAAAACGATTTGTAGAGGTTTTTAAGAGCTACAAGAATCTGTGAATTAAATCTTTTTGGAACCCTTGGTTTTTAAATGGGGTGAGTTTAAAGGGATCGAAAAAGATGGTGCTTGATCGTAAATCGATGCTTTAAACGGCTATATCTTGCCAAATATTCATTGTACAACAAATCTAAATGAAGGATAATTTTAGTCATTAAAAAAGCTACAATTTGGTAATTTGTATTTTTTTTATATATTGAGTATTTTCGGGCATATTTAAAAAAAGAAGGGTAAAAAATATGAAATTGTAAATCGTTTCTCGCTTTAAGCTGTACTTTTTATAACACAAAGCATTTTAAATGGGTCAAACTTCTTGGACATATTAACAATACATGTACAAAGGGAATTTCAGAAGGGTGAAGATCGATTTTAATTATGGGGGTGGTTAGGGGGTTGTTTTCATCGATTTTTTCGTAAAAAATGAGGTATTGACCTTATTTTCATCATAACTCACTCAATTTTTCAGCTAGAGTCTTTTTTATGATAGGTCTATTTATGCTCTTTAAAAAAAGTTTTGTGAGTTTTCTTCCAAAAATGCATCATTTTCCCGATATTTGATTTTGAATCTTTCAAATTTGGCATTTAAAGAAAACCGCTGAACATTAATAGGCCGTATTTCGGTTCCTGTTATATCCCAAAAACATTTTAAAAAATGAATTGTATTTGTCTTTTTAAAAGCTACAAATTTGTTCTCTACAATTTTTTTGATAAAATGCACCATTTTCGAATTATTCGCGAAAAATCGATTAAAAACGTGGATTTTTTCGTCCAAAAATTATTACTTTCAATCGCGAATAACTTGAAAAATATCATTTTATAAAAAAAATGTATAGCACATTTTTTGTTTAGAATCACTTTTTTAATCGAAAACTGTAGTTAAAACGTAAAAAAAAATTTCACCCCGGAGATTGGGGTGGCAACCACCCCCTAGGCTTTGGCGCACTTTGGTTCGATATAGATTTTGATCCTTAGGCTATTACCTACCCTCTGTTAAATTTCAAGTCAATCCAGGGAGCACGAAATAATTGCGAGGTGAAATGCTTCATTTCCTGGACTATAACTGGTTTGACAGCATAAATCGTAGATTTATGTGTAGCTTTCAATTTTTATGAGTTCAGAATCCAGCAGCCCACTGAAGTATTGGATTTTTATAATATAAATATTTGACAATATTTTGTTGGCCAACCACCTACAGCAGAATTGAGCCGAAATACATTATATTCCTATGTTCCGAATTTATTTCGTTCAATCTGTATATAGCTGAGGAGGCTAATCGGTCTGTAATTGTCTAAATTTGCTTTGTCTTCTGCTTTGTGTAATAGAATCATAGTAGCGTTGTTCCAGTCTGTTGGAATATTGGCGCTGTAAAGGCAGATATTGAAAAGTTATTTAATTTTTTCAAGTAATACATCCCCTCCAATTTTTAGTGCTTCTGATACTATTCCATCTTTACCCGGGGTTCGATTATTTTTCATTTTCTTCAGGGCTTCTTTGATTTCTGATTTTGTTATATTGGGCATTAAATCTGATCCTTGGTTTAATACCCCAGTTTTTAGTGTAATTGGAGGTTCCGTATTGTTATCTTTTTTTCTTGATCTATATAACTCTGTGTAGAACTCTTCGACTATTCTTAATATTTCATCTCTGTTCGTTGTTTCTTCTCCAGTTCTGTTTCTCAGTTTGTTAATTTCTATTTTCCCTTTTTGTACGCTCCTCTTCAAAACTTTCATGTTCTTATTTTTCGCTATTGCCTGTTTTGTTTTTTCTACATTGTAGTTTCTTATGTCTTTTCTTATTGCCTTTGTGATCGTCTTATTTATTTGATTTATCGCTTCTTTGCTTGCAGTCTTATCTCCTTTCATTTGTCGCCTTAGTTCTATAAGGGTTTTTGTTGGTTGACTCAGTTTTTCATCTTTTTTGCTTGTCGGACAATATTTAGTTTTAGCCTGTTGCATTGTGTCGACTATTTGTTTGTTCAATATATTGATGTCTGCTGTTGTTGTATCTTTCAATGAATTCCCAATATATTTTTCGAACTCCTGAATGTTAGTTGGATTTGTCCATTTCTTTGGTTGTTTCTTATTTATCATTTGAGTCTTTCTTTTTCGGTTGATATCGTTATTGTAGCTCTTACTAACCTATGATCACTGCTTGTACTGAACTGGTTTAGCACATTTACGTCTTTAAATAATTATTTTTTGTTTGTTAAGAAATAGTCGATTTCGTTCCTTGTTTTTTCATCAGGACTTTCCCATGTCCATCTTGTGTGTTTTTTTTTAAAGAAGCTGTTCATTTGATAGAGATTGTTTTCCAAAAGGAAAGTCGGTAGTTGTTTGCCTCTATCATTTCTGCCTTCGCTTCCAAAATTTCCCAATATTATTTCAGAGGGGTCTTCTTTAGTGCCTATTTTGGCGTTGAAGTCACCACCTATTATTAAGAAGTGGCCAGGATTTTCCTTGATATAGCATGCAATATATAAGACATAAATGAATGGGTAACAAAACGGAAACAGGAGTAGAAAGAACACATTAGTAAAATGGCAGAGAATAGGATAGTACTAATAGCACGAGATAAGTCACCAAATAGACAAAGAAGTATTAGCAGACCAAGAAAAATATGGTGCGATAATATAAACAATTTAGAAGGCTAATGTTAAAGAAGAAACAGGCTTTAAAACCTGTTACATACAAGAGGGAAGAAGAAGAAGACATTTTCTAAATTATTTAAAATATCTAAGATTTTTGCAAATAAACTTTTGTCACCTTATGCATCTGTTTCGGCCGTCTTTGTCAACTGGAAGATGATCTTCAACATTTGTGAAAACTTGAAAATCTTTGAAACCCTGCCCTGTGTTCTGGACTGTTTGTACAAAGATTCTGGTGGTCCTTTACTAATCAACTCTTTAGCTACATCTACTACGAAATCGAAAAATGAATTTTTTTTGCGAGTGAGTTCTTACCTTTAGCAATCTAAAAAATACTTTCTTCCACCAAGTAATCATTTGATCTGCGTGATCTACTCCCCCATATATACATTGTAGAAAATCATAGCTTTAGGGCATTCAATATTTTTCAAATCAGTAGTATCAATAGCAGCATTGTGGTAGTTAGGTAGGCAGCCGATAGAAAAATATAGGAAAAATAAATAAACGCCCATATGGTGTTCATTAATTTGAAAAAGCACAAGATAGAGTTGTTTGAGAGATTCTGTTGTATTCAGGTGATTCATAAGAAAGGAGGTCTCAATTATTTTTAGTCAATGATCTATCACCTTTTATCATTTGTTTTCAAGAAACAAATTTCACATCAACATTGCCATACTTTTATTATATATCTTTAGAAATAAGGACCAACCTCATCACCAAAATTGTAAAATTGAACGCTTCATAAAACTCCTCACAGACATTAATATTTAAACAAAATTTAACATTTATCAGTAAATTATCTTATGTAAATGTATATATGTCGCTAAAAACTAGATTGATAAAGGTTGATATGGATTAAAATAAAATAAATAAAGCATTGTTCGAATTATTTTGGTCATAAGTATTTACTTACTCTAAATATCTTCTCCAACTTAATAATGCAACGTAGCCCACAACTGATAATGCCACAAATACTCCAGCTAAGATCGCCGCCACCTTTCCAGGTACTAAACCTTTGCGTTCAAGCACAGGCTCCTCGTGATATTTTTGAGCTAAACATAAAATAAGAGTACGAGTTAATTTTAAAATTTAAAACTGTTTGAGATTAGATATGTTTATAATATTATATAAATATATTTATTTTATATATGTATACCGCCTTCTTCTTCTTCTTCAGATGCAAATCCACTAATGGATGTTAGCGATCACATTTTCCATTAACTCTCTATTTCTTGCAATATGTATCAGAGATTGTATGTCGTTAATCCCTGTCCATTGCCTTATGTTTCGGAGCCAGGACATTTTCTTGCGTCCCATTCCTCTCTTGCCTTCAATTTTACCCTCGATTATAAGTTGTATACCGCCTACGTTCCGATAAAGTAAAAATATTTAAATAAACTGTACTTTGCTAAAATGATATGAATATTGTCACCATGTAACACTTTATCTGGTGTTTAGGTGTGAAATAAAACGAAAAGGCTTCTATTTACATATTTACAATAATAAAGAGGATTTATTGCCTACATAAATACATACTACAATATTCTTACATACAATATTCTAGCAGTTTTAGTGAAAGATTGTTCTCAGGTATTTGTAAAGCCACTTCAAAACTTATCAATAAAATCGGGAACTTATCCGAATCTTGGAAAAATGCAAAAATATGCCCTGTATTCAAAAACGGAACCAAATCTAATGTATCCAATTACAGACCGGTATCTTCGTTATCCAATTTTTCAAAGGTTTTTCGAAGTAACTCTATACAGGGTGGTCCTTAAGTAATTGTATAAAAGGAAACCGTAGATTATACACTTTGAAATATTACGATTTAAGCAAAATTGCTTTAATAAAATGTTGATATTAAGAAAGATACAGGGTGTTAAAGTAGAAATTTAAAACTTTAATTTTTGCTATAACTTTCATTTTTGTTAACATTTATGTATAAAAATTCATAACTGAGTATTATTGAATATCAGGAATTATAATTTGATGCACACTTCAATGTAGCTTATAGAGGGCGCCACATATGCCACATATGTGGCATACATTTACACTTAACTTTTTTGCTCTTTAAGTTACCGGTGTTTGTGATAAAAAATATTAAGGACACTTTATTTTAACAATAAAAAGGTATACTTGTTAATAGCTTCAAAACTCAACAGTTTTCGAGATAATCGCATTTTACAAATCAACTACATAATTATGTTGAGAAAAGGCAGCAAATATTTGATTTGACGCAAACAAATCCTATGTATCTCTTGATACGTATTTCGACCTAATAGGTCTCGTCAGAAGAGCTATTCATAGGGGTTCTCAACGTGAAAAATCAATATTTTCTGCCTTTTAAGAAGCAACAATAACATGGCTTCGATACGGACGCACTAGCGACATCTAATTTAACAATCGTAAAATAGTTTAGAAACACAATTCAGATTTCTGCTTTATAATCTGAGCCTTCTAAGAATTGCAAGGCAAACAGACGTTGATAAAAGATGTTAAAAGAGACATGGGGAATCTAAAATTTGCATTCCACGACATGTCTTTTACAACTAAGCTGAAATCCTTAGCGAATTGTGCTTCTTGTACTCCCACAGAGTAAATCCGAATAAAATGAGAAAAGGCAGCAAATATTTGATTTCACGCAAACAAATCCTATGTATCTCTTGATACGTATTTCGACCTAATAGGTCTCGTCAGAAGAGCTATTCATAGGAGTTCTCAACGTGAAAAATCAATATTTTCTGCCTTTTAAGAAGCAACAATAACATGGCTTCGATACGGACGCACTAGCGACTTAGCAACTTAAAATATACTGAGAAATTAAAACAATTGCTAACTGTATAAATTTATAGAACGATCTAAATTATATAGATACTTAGATAAAAAACAAACTTTTGTTTTCCAATACGTGTAAAGTAGTAAGTTATTCTAGAACGGAAAATAACGTTGATTTTAATTATGTAATTCAGGGTCAGATCTTGAAAAATTTAATGGTATTAAAGATTTAGGTATTATATTTGATTCAAAATTAACCTTTAACAACCATATTGAGCAGAAAGTATCCGATGCTATGAAAATGTACGGTTTTATCATCAGAAACTGTAGAAATTTTACCGATATAAGACCGATTAAACTGCTGTATATATCGATAATGCGAACAAAATTAGAATATTGTAGCTTAATTTGGTATCCCATTTATAAATGTTATATGCAACAGATTGAAAAGGTACAACGGAAACTTTTAAAATATTTAGCATTTAAGGTTTTAATAATATTTTGTGTCATGGCTGCAAGATTAAGTTTAAGAGAAAAAATTGAAATTATACGTCTTTTGGGACATAACGATAGAAGTGCCAGGGAAGTTTGTACAATATTTAATGACAGACATGTGGATCGTCCTAATATTAGCTGTGGTACTGTAAACAAATAGAATATTTAATGAATATGGTGCAGTATTAAAACTAATTTTAAAAAATAACCCGTTACAAAGAAGAAGAGGAAATGATCATATCATTTTGGATCATTTCAGAAATAACCCTAATGCCAGTTTAAGGAATGCCAGTTTATATTTGAATGTGCCTCGAGAGAGTATTCGGCGATGTATTAAGGTAAATAAAATTAAACCATCATCATCATCATCATCATCATCATCATCTTGGTGCTACAGCCCTTAAAGGGCCTCGACCTTCTCAAGCTTTCTACGCCATTCTGTTCTGTCCCTTGCTTGAATTTTCCAGTTGCCGAATCCGATCTTCTCCGCATCTTGTGTTACCCCATCCATCCACCTCAGCTTTGGTCTACCCCGTCGTCTCATTCCCACAGGTTGCGCTGTTAGAATCTTTTTTATCATGTTCGATTCAGGGGCCCGGGCTACATGTCCTGCCCACTGCAGGCGGTTTCGCTTAATTATAGTGGTAATATCTTTACCACCAAACGTATGCTTGTAGATATTCTGCAGTTCGAAGTTATATCTACGCCTCCATATTCCGTTCTCACAGACCGCTCCAAATATCTTGCGTAGCACCTTTCTTTCAAAAATGGATAGAGCGGATCCATCTGTTTTCGTTAGCGTCCATGCCTCTGATCCGTATGTAAGAACGGGGACTATCAGTGTTCTATACAGCCTTATACGAGTTTTTTGAGACTCTCAAAATAAAATTAAACCTTTCAAACAAAAATTCTTACACACATTACAAGAAGGCGACGAAGCAAAACGTCTAGAATATTGTTTATGGGCCCAAGGGGAATATTTAAACAATATACATTTTCTAAAAAACGTGTTGTTTCCAACGAAGCCACATTCACTACAAACGGAGTAGTATCATCACAGAATTGTCGCTATTGGACAGCAGATAATCCCCATTGGGCAATAAACTGTAAAAGCCAGTATTCTCAAAAAATCAATGACTGGTGTGGTATACTGAACGAGCGAGTTATTGGTCCTTTCTTTTTTGAAGAAACCTAGCACTCACAGAACTTTTTAGAATTTTTAAACACCAACTTGTGGGATGCTATTCATGAGCTCCCAATTAATGAACGATTAAATTTGTATATCCAGTTAGAAGGATGTTCTGTTCATTACGCCAGAACCGTTAAGCAATGGCTAAATGAAAATTTTCCGAACCGTTGGATAGGCCGGGGTAGGCCGTTAATAGATTGGCCACCCAGATCACCAGATCTCACAATTTTAGACTTCTTTCTCTTGGAAGTTATCAAACAAAAAGTTTACCAAACCCGTGCAAGAGACGTAAACGAACTTCGTGCAAGAATTCGACAGGAATGTGCAGAAATTACTCCCCAACAACTAAGAAATGTAATTAGAAATATTCATAAACGCTACGACAAATGTATCCAATTAGATGGTGGATTGTTCGAGGCAACTAGAATTTAAACTAAAATTTTGTTTCCGTGTTTCTGTTAATACAGAGTGTTTTTTTAACGTTAATACAGATTGTTTTTTTCTTAGTGAGTTTTAAAATTTTAAGTTATCATAAGTTTGTTTTTAAAAAATATATCTTAACGAAATTTTTGTCATAGCTATTTAAAGCCACTCTAAATCTAGTGGCCTAGACATTTTACGCCACTGAACAACACCGGCCGACAATAACAAAATCGCTAATACAAATTCTTCATTTTCGACGACGAAAAAGTATCGTATAATGCCCTGAAAATTTAACTAAATATTTCATATTTTGTCCCGCAATAGACCTTTTAGTACATGACATTAAAAAAGATTGGATAAAATCGGTTAACAACTTCAAATTTTATAGAGGTGTTTCCAATCTAAATGGGTCACACTATATATGGATCAGAAACATGGACACTGTCGGAAAGCGTTGAGAACCTATTAGGTACGTTTAAACGAAAAATCCTTAGACACAATTATAAGGGGCTGAAGGAAAATGACATATGACACAGAAGATATAACTTTGAACTGCACAGCATACAATGAGCCCGAGGTCATAACATCCATAAAGATCGGACAGCTGCGCTGAATGGGCCATGTTGAACAGATGTTGTAGACTGAAACACTAAAACGTATAATGAGGCACCAGTAGAGAGAAGATCAAAGGGAAGACCCAAACTTAGATACATGGAACAAGTGGAACAAGATCTGATAACACTTAAGATTACCAACTGGAAAAACAAAGCCAAGAACAAAACAGAATGGCGAAAAATCCTAGAACAAGCCAGGATCCAGAAAGGGTTGTCGAGTTTAGGTATCTGGAAATAGAAATAATATAATACAGAGATGTTGAATAAGAAGTATGGCAACGAAACTTAAAAGCAAGTAAAGTGGCGGGACCTCTTAATAACAAAATCTGGAAGAACAAACACCTAAGACAAGACACAAAAACAAGAATCTATAAAGCAGCAATTAGACCTATAATAACATACACGGCGGAGACAAGACCTGACACATCTAAAATGAGACGACTACTAGAAACAACAGAGATGAAAATACTCCGACGAATATCAGGGAAAAGTCTGTTGGATAGGGAGAGAAGCGAAAACATAAGAAGAGCATGCAATATAAAAGACATAAATGGATGTGTGAAAAAACAAAAACAGGAGTTAAACGAACATATCAGTAGAATGGCAGATGATAGAATTGTACGAATAGCACGAGATAAGTCACCAAATGGACGAAGAAGTATTGGCACACCAAGAAAAAGATGATGCGACAATATAAACAATTTAGGAGGCTAATATTGAAGAAGAAACTGGCTTTAAAGCTTACATACAAGAAGGAAGAAGAAGAAGACAAAATGCATCCATCAAAATAATTATTTATATTTAAAAATGTTAACAAAAATAGAGAAAAATATTTAAGGTAATGTGAGTGATAAGCTATAGTAAAATTATAAATTCTTACCTAATTTCCAACCATTAATTGAATCGTCGCTTAAAAATATAATCGGGTCGGGATCGTTTGTTATATGTACTGAATCGTCATCTGTGTGCTCTGGTACTTTTAGTAGATCCTCAACTTCAGTATCTATTTGAGAATTATTGGATTCTTTCTCTTCAGTGGGAATTACAGTATACACAAAGTTGGAAGAATTTGTGGCTTCAACAATTTCAGTGGTGGTTTCAACATTTTCAGTGGTGGTTTCTAAATCGGTGCTTTTTAATGATGTTGAATTTGAATTTATTGTTTGATTTACATTTGAACTAGTTCCGTCTATTGTAGCGTTCAACGCTGATTTCTGTGTTATATCTTCTTTAGTTGTGATAGATGTAGTATCTATTGAAACTTTGCTGTTTGTTGTCTTTTGATCATTGTGTTGGGGATTTGGGCTGTTGGAAGTTGATCTTGCTATGTTGCCTGGAACAAAGTAAAAACAAATTACTAAAATTTATCATTAAACAAATTTTCTTAAAAAAACAAATGATGTTTACGTACTAATATTTTGTTTTTATTTTGGGCTATTATTCTAGGTAAGGAAAGGATATCACATCAAAAACCATTAAAAGATTTCTTACGTTTAAAATCAATTCAGAAAAATGCCTTCTGTCCTATTAGCAATTATTTTAAAAATAATGTGCACTAAACGCTATAAGATTATCAAGATTATAAACATGGTCTTGGCCTGGAGGACGATACAAGAACCAAATAAACTATATTCTTGTCACTAAATGATGGAGGAGCTCAATAATCAACGTGAAGACAAAACCAGCTGCAGACTGTGGTTCCAACTACATTGCATTAAGTAACACAATCAAAAATTCACAAATTAAAGGCAAAAAATGATTCCAAAACACCTGGAAAAGTTTAGAGAGGCATTAGCAGAAGTTGACCTACCAGTGACTGACCCTGACAATACGTGGAAATACACAAAGAAATGGATCACTGAAGCCATCAACAATACTAATTCCAGGAAACATCTAGGAAAAACATTGGATGACTGAAGAGACTTTCAATCTTGTAGAAAAAAGACAAAAACTTAGAAACGGCACATCAAATTCAAAACAAAAAGGAATAGAGATATGCATCATAAATTCAACTATAAAACACTTGTGCAGAAGGGACAAAAATAATTATATTAAAAACATATGTGTGCAACTAGAGAATCATGCTGGCTGCCAAGAATCTAGAGAACTTTTGGGAAAAGTCAAGTATCTAGCGAGAGAATTCAAACAGCAGACACATATCATCAAAGATAAGGGTGGAAATACCATCCCAATAATACCCAACAAACCCAGATGGTATCGCAGAGGTATGGAAACAATATTGCGAAAAACTGTTCTCTTACAACTACCCAGGCAATAATACAGTACAAAAGAACCTCAAATATTGAATTTTTTTGTGGCTTTAACACTTAGCTATTTAGCCAATTACGTATTGAGAAATAATAAAAAAAAATTTATAATATCAATATTCCAATATAGTTAATACTAAAAAAAAGTGTATACATGTACACATAAGTGCATACACAAGTGTACATATACAAGTGTATACATACATAACTATAATCTATAGTGCAAAAAGTGTGTCTATTCGAGTCAAAAAACCTCATAAAATCCCTATAACTGAATCAAATAAAAAGAGAAAATTATATTAAGATAAAACAAATATAAGGAAAAACAGGGATACTCACTTCTCGTCCAGGGACCCATCAGGACATTTGTTTAAGACATTACTAAATATTGAAATTAGAAATTGAGGCGACAATTAAAAAGCTAAAATTCCGAAATGCAGAAGGCGAAGATGGAATAACAGCTGAAAAACTCAACGAAATGGGAGAATTAGGGACGGAAGTAATAGTATAATTTGAAATGACATCTGGAAAGTGGTCAAATGATTGGGGAAACTCAGAAACTCATGTTTATTCCCATATATAAAAGGTTCACCGACAGACTGCAGTAGTTACCGTACAGTAGCATTGATATCACACGCGAGCAAAGTACTTCTAACAATTATCAATGAAAGACTAAAATCAGTTATTTTATTATAAATGTTGGTTAAAAAGTCTTAAGACCAAGTCTTTACAACGCTATGATTGAGTTAGGAATTCCAAAAAACTCATGTTTGATAAAAGTGACAATGGCGAAGATGCTATCAGCAGTAAAAATTCAAAACGACTCGTCAACTCCATTTGAATTACATAGGGGGTTAAGGCAGGGAGATGCGCTGGCGTGTCAGCTTTTTAATGTCGCCTTAGAAAAAGTTGTACGAGACGCTAATTTAGATAGCAGGGGAACAATATTTAATAGATCAGTCCAAATTCTAGCATATGCAGACGACGCGTGGACATTATAACAAAAACCAGGGCGAAAACTGCGGAAATCCTAACCGAGCTAGTAGCAGCAGCAGAACGAATGGGGTTACATATAAATCAAACTAAAACGAAATTCATGGCGACTAACACAAACACAAGAGCTGGAAATGTTGACGCAGATTTAATCATCAATGACCAAAACTTCGAAGCAGTCAAAGAGTTCATATATCTAGAGACATCGGTTAACCCCAACAATAATACATCTGAAGAAATAAAAAGACGAATAATAATTGCAAACAGGTGTTATCATGGTCTATCAAAGTACTTAGCTAACAAACGTCTATCTCAAAAAACTCGTATTAAGGCTGTATAGAACACTTATAGTCCCCGTTCTCATACATGGATCAGAGGCATGGACGCTAACTAAAGCAGATGAATCCGCTTTATTGATTTTTGAAAGAAAGGTGCTAGGCAAGATATTCGGAGCGGTCTGTGAGAACGGAATATGGAGGCGATTATCAGGTCCAAGAAATATTCCTATAGAATCACCAAAAGCAAGAGGCTCTAGAGGTCTAGAGAACGGAAAAAGCAAGATTACACAAACATGCTGTCGACAGATACAGGTTCTATCAGAGTGGAAGATGGCGGAAATACTAATTGTTATCGAGGTCTAATTGCAGGTAGTATAATAAAACAACTGTTTAGTCCTCTTCTTCTTGTTTTTATGTAGACGTAACAGTGCCTGTTTATCAATGTGCCTCCAGTAAGTGGTCATTCCTTAGTCTTCGTGGTCGTCCAACTGATCGTCTTTCTATTGTGAAACCGTCTCTAGCCATCTTTACTACTCGATTTGTTGTCAAATTCGGCCTATATGAACATTTCATTCTACTCTTTCGATATTTTCATTTCTCCATATTGTTTCATTCCGGCAATATGCGGCTCTATTTTCTAATAATGTGATACCTAGATATTTAAATTCCATCACTTGTTCTATTATCTGACCTTCCAGCTCCAATTTACATCCCAGTAAATTTGCTGTTTATAAACACGTTAGTTAATAAATTTTCTGGCGGTTAGATTAAATTGGTGCAGCATATTTTGCCAGAATGATCGCCAACATTCCGACGGACATGCACCCTAAGAAGAAGAAGCATATTTGGTAAATCATCTTCACTTTGAGAGGGTAGTATTGCGTTGCCTGCATAGCAGATTATTTTAAGTTGTTTTTCTCTTATTTGGTATCATTTTTTAGTTCTTACTTTTTTTATTATTTTATCCATAATCAGCTTGAACAAAAGAGGACTCGGGGAATCTCCCTGTCTTATCCCATTGCCAGCTTCAATAGGAGCAATTAGTTCTTCTTCTACTTTTACTTTTATTGTGTTATTTTGGTCGATATTTGTGATCGTTTTGATTATTCCTAAAAGTATCTATTTTGTTTACAATGAGTGCTTAACGTTCTTTAATTACCAAATGCCTTCTTAAGGTACACGAAACAGATATGCCGGTTTATTGTATTCTAACGATTTCTCGATTTCTCTTGCAGTTGCCTCATTATAATTATAGCGTCGGTGCATGATCTTCCCGACTTAAAACCTTGTTGATCTTCTGCTAGTGTTATAATTTCATTCAGTTTATTTGTTATCACTTTAATTGTTAATATTAGTGTTGTAATTAACAAATGAATTCATGTGTAATTTTTTGGGTCCGATTGGTCTGCCTTTTTGAAGAGAGATATTAGGATGCTTGATCTCTATTCTTGAGTAATTCTGGTTTGTTCTATTATTTTTTTGATTAGTTTTAGTGGTTGATTTACCTTTATCAAATAGGCATCGAAAGGAGTCTGCCCATGTTTACTTCTGAATGTCTTTCGTTTTTATAAGTTCGTTCATCTCTTTTCTTTGTTCTCAAATCATTCTCTATATTTCTTTCTGTTTCCGTAGAAGACTCCATCTAACTGTTTAGTAAAGTTATTAATGAGAAACTAACTATGTTCATTCTCAAGATAAGCTCGAGTTTGCCCTGATTGGTGGGTGTGTCGTGTCGTCTCAGCTTGTCATTGGTTAGAAATTAATTTCTATGACGATAAAAGACATCCACCGAACCGATCACACTAAATATTGAATCTGCGAGAAGATCAAAGTGAATTTACATCAAATAGATCATGTACATACAATTTATTCATTATACATATAGCAGAAAGTTTTATACCTTTGGGAAAAGAATAATATTTGTCATTTGGGGATTTTGAAAATTCTTTTGAGTATGTTTCAAGATCAAAGTTGTAGGTAGTATTAAAAGACCTAAGCATTGATGTGTTATAGATTATTATAGAAATGTATAGCGACAACTTCGTACAAATATAAAAAGGACTGATTCGTGTACAACCTATTAATTTCACAAATGGATGGAGCATCACGTCTCCTAGGATACATCACATGTAGAACCTGCAGTTCTTCAAGTGATATATTAGTAGTTTCTTCTTAGTAGTTTCAATTGAATAAACAGTATAAACATTTATAGGTTAAGATCATTCATAATGTTATTATAGATTTTTTGATAATGATTTCCAGATTGATAATTCGTGAGTAAATTATGTAAATATGCAAGGAGTCTGAGCCATTTTGTTTCTAAAATTTCCCCATATCGTTGACATAAAAATGGAACACGATGATTTACTATTGTGAGCAGCAGTTATTTTGCTTTACCATGTAAAATATGATAATTATTTTTCTAGGTAGTTTATTTTTTTCAAGGTGCCCATAAATAACACTAAGTATATTTTTCTTTATCTAAATTGGCTTATTTTGATAGTGTATTACATATCCATTGACGTTAAAAGCTTTGGTTTTTAAAACGACATTTAAATTCATTGTTGAATAATGCGACTAGCATTTAAGGATACATTAAAAAATTCGATAAGGTCACGTATATACCATTTTCAATAGTAGGGACATAACCTTATGTGTAATATTTTAAGCGTATTACTATTTTCCCATGGTCTAACAAATTTTATATTGTCTGTCAAAAATGGCTATAAAACTAAAATGATTAATGCTCCAGTCGTCAGAGTAGAAGATGCCACTTAATCTCTAAATTTCATACG